ACTTGACGACATTGGATCCAGACTTGACATTGGGATTCAGACATTTTGACGAGGGACTATTTGGGCCTGTGCTGAACACTTGGTGTTGACGACATTCCCATCTTACCTTCTTCTTCGTCTAATCCCACCTCCTTCGTCTGTGTATGGTTGGGGCTGGCGCAATCTTCTTGTGTGAAGCGCCAGACCCCTTCACACCATGATGATGATGATGTATGTTCGGGGCTGCATTGCAATATAGATTGTTCAGATCATTGGTATTTAAGTCTTCCGCTGTGCTATCTTATACTTTGTATTGAAGGGTCGGTTCTTGTTCTGGTCTGCACCTATACGGTATGCAACACCGCATGTCCTGTTCTCGAAGGAATGCATGATCCTATGACCAAACAAAGTACGCTTAATGGTTAACTTTTGGCCCTTAGTCCTTTCAGAGTCCTTCTACCGACCAGACAAATAGTAAGGACACCTGATGTCTTCTCAACATAATCCTTGTATCAGACGATCACAGCCACAATGCAGAGCATTTTGTCTCCTCATACACACAACATATAACTCCCCACGACAGAGCCTGACGGGCTTTGTGCCATTGAGCTCACATAGTCGAGCATACCTGCATAGACATGCATACAAACAACATAAGATAGACAGGACAGGCAAGAGTCACTCCACAGTCCATACATGCATGAGGAATGAAGGAGATGAGCCTACTGACCTGTCAAAATAAAGAAGAACTTGAACACAATTCAGTCCAAGTAATGTCCAATCCGCAGTCACCAATTCGCAATTACCAAGATGCACAGCCTGATTGCGATGCAACAATGCGTAGGCCACTTCGTTGAACCACTTTACCAATCCTCTTGTCATTCAACTTCACACACTCCTCCACTCACTCCGAGTCTCCCCAAGCCAGTCAAACTGACAGCATTTCCTCCTTGCACTCAAGTTTGTAACCACCACACTCCATCTCCATCGGTATACGCATCCAATCCGTAAGGTGCGATAGCGCCGCTAGCAGACCCTAGGCCGACCAGAGGGCCGGCACGAGGTCTCAACGGTCGAAAGGACCACCTCACCGCCTTGGCCGAGGTCGCCCTAACTATATGTCCAAGCCGGAGTACGTCCTGCCTTCCTTTCCCTGCCACTAACAGGTATCAGTCACATCATACCGCGATGCCGAAGCGGACTGTTGGCCAGCCGTCGTCCTGCAAGTGGGCAAGCACTTCGCTCTCCCACACAGCAGCCTCTCCTCAACACATATAGACATGGAGCATACGCACCGTGTAGACACACACATGCGCATACCAGGTTCGCCCCTTCGTCCAGCCTTGTTGCAGCAGCCCAAGAAGGATGTGATCAGGACTGGTGTTGGCTGAGAAGCCGAAGCTATGCAACACTAGGCCCTCGCAGTCGCTAGGACCACTCCCCAACGCCGCCAGTCTCCGTAGACTCTGCCTAGTAGTATGCTCAGCTCCTTGCATCGCCGCCCGTCTCCACCTGCTTGCTTGCTGCTTGCATGTCACACTCACATTGCTCACACGTGGTTGTTATTATTGCTAACACTTGTATTCGTACTTGCACTTGGCTGGGTGGAGCTCCTTTAGAGCTCCTTCACCAAGGTACTCACCCCCACCTGGCTGTTGGGCCGCCTCAGCCGTTCAATTGCAAGATCGAACTGCTTTTGACATGCCACTAAGGTCTGATGTGAGGTTCCTAGAGCTTCCGTACATCTGGCAACTCTTCTTGGCCGTTGATCCAGCCAATCAGGTGGCCAAGGTCTTTTGCATGACTTTTGAGGTTTCTCAGTCCCTAGGCCCTTTCAGGCGTGGACCGGATGAATCTGGCCTCTTCTTAGGCCACGTTCATGTGGCAGCACTGTTTGGAAAGACCTAGATACTTTGCCCTGTGTGCAGACCCTACTGGATCATGAGTCTGGCCTTTTAGTCCTGCCAGATTCACAGGCCAATGGGCCCTCCCTTGGAGTTATATTTCAGCCTACTCACAAAATTCTTGCACCCTCCTATCTACCCAATCTACAGTTCAAATTCTTTGTGCGGTCTAGAACGTTCCTAAAGCCTCCAGGCCTTTCGGGCCTTTCCAAATGGTCACCTGCTAGTACCAGGAGAACCTGACGCGGATTCTGGCCTGATTCAGCTGGTACCACCAGTCCGCTTAGCCTCTAGGCATTTCAAGGACTTTTTAGGTTCCACACATATTGCTGTCCACTCAAGCTCACAATCGCATGGCCAAAAACACCTCCCCAACTCTGGGGCCTTTTGGTATGATTTCGTGGTCGCCCATTGTAGTATTCCAGCCCAACGACTCTCGACTTTTGAGTTCAGAAGGGGTCGGGCACATTAGCCATGGTATTTCCGTACCATAATCCTCGAGGCCAATTTCTCATTCTTCACGCGTTCTCCAATGCCACCTGGGCCAACCCCGGTCTCGGCCAACCCTGCCAGACCTTTGCCTGACTAGCCAAGCTGGCTGCGTCTGTATACGGCCAGCGGAACACCAAACGAACACCCTTGCAAGGGTGTCCGTTCCGACACCGGGCTGGGTATAGTCTGGATAGTTTAAGGTGACATACTATACGAAGCCCTTATTTGACTAGTCAAGCCCAGTAGCTATTGTAACATACTATAGGAAGCCCTTATCTGACTAGTCAAGCCCAGTAGCTATTGTAACAAACCTATATTTTCGTATTTAGGCCCGGGCTTTTTTCTAACTTTGTGCTATTTTTCCCTGAAATGTTAGTACTCGATCTACGCTCGTGATTATTTCTTTCATACTTCTTCATAAAATATTAAGAGAACAAAACATTGTAAGAGTTGCCACACTCGGAATTTCCTGGGCTTCTGCCAGCTCCCACTATGGCTGGCAGGCTGATCCTTCGCCAGGCAAGGGTGTATAGCATTGCAGGTCTCGGATATCATTGGGGGAAATAAAGGGGAATAAAGATGAATAAACTGGATTCGGTTGCCTCGTTGCCAAAGTGTGAGTAGAACTAGCCGAGTCCTGAGTGTTGTATAGACCAAGTACAACAGTTGTCCTAGCTCTTGCACGGCTTACATACAGCGGATAGAGGCCCATTCTGACTCTCTCCCACTTCGTGTGTGTGTGTGTGTGGGTGTGTGTATGTGTGTGTGGTCTCATCCTGGTATACAGAAAACAAAAAAGCATGACTGTGGGGGACAGTTTTATTGGATTTTCACCGACTCGGGAGGAGGTTGAATCCCGAGAAGTCTGCTCAGTAGACATTTGACTGATGGATAACGGCTCACCCCACCGTCCAGAACGAGTGCTACCCCTGAGAAAAGTTGTCCGCTTTTCTCACACCAAACCTGCAATGGTAGCAGACTGTCCATCCAAACCCCTGACAAGAATGACACTAAGACTCGGAAACTAGTCTGTCACAGCCATCAAACCCACTCTAGTGTGTGCGTCTCCAGCAGTCCACGGAAACTGTTCAGTTCTGGTGAGTTCTGTCCTGTTCTCAAGTACCGTGATGGAGAATTGAAGGTGGGGAAATGAAAATAATGGAATATTTTTTGTTGCTGTGTTATGATGATGCAGGGATGGTGACAAAGCGTTGGTGACAGACTTTGAACGCAGCGGGCAGGTTCCTGTGCCTGCGATATCCACAAACTTTCAGGTAGGCGGTTGTGGAGCTCGGAGCTGCTTGGCATTTCCTGGCATTGTGTATCTATCTTCTTCGTTCACAGTTTCTGCTTGCTCATTCAACACTTTCTCCTGACAGTGTAGGTTATGAATGGAAGACTATCAGAATGTTGACCTCACAATGAACAGACCCGTAAGGTGTGGAAATTCCCTCCGGATTGCAGGATTGAGACCTTTCGGACATTATGTTTCCTGTTGCTTGCTTACCACTTTCCTGTATATCTGTCGCCAGTTTGTTGATAGAACTTATGCTTTGGTCATAACGTGCGCCTTACTGCCCTTTGGGGGGGTTTGGAGGTAAAGTTCTCCTTACTGTCATTTTCTAGGTCTGTGTCACTTCTTTCTCTGTTCTCCTGGAAGCCAACAAGATGGAAATTCTGAGGTGTTCATTTCGTTAGTATACTTTTTGTCATCGTCTAATGTAAGACAGAAGTCAAGGACTGGACTAGAGGCTTGAGGACACACTTAGATGCAGGTGATATGTGTGTGCTAGGCCACCATAGGTGTTACGAGTTTCATGTTGGCCCAATCTAGCCAGTAAACCTCCAATCTGGCCACTATAGGCCCAATCTGGCTACCAAAGGCCCAATCTGGTCACCATAGCCCAAACTGAGGACCATTGCCCCAATTTGGCTATCATATGCCACCAGGTGCTGCTGTGACACCCGTGGGGTCTGTGTTTGATGGAAGGGGATAAACAACAGCCAAATGTTCTGACTACCCTGTGGCCGTAGGAACGATAGAGTAGAAGTCCAGACTATTGTCCAGTGTGTGCACGCTTTAGGAAGAATCCATAGTTATTGAAGTAAATGTGCAGGTGTTTACACTGTTTACACTTTTCATCGTTCTTCTGTATAAATCAGCTGGTTAGGCTTTCCATCGTTCTTGTCTGTATTAATCAGCACGATTTCCTCGCCAGGATGGCTTGCATAAATTGAGAAATGGTCCCAAAAAAAATAAAAAATTTCAGCACAGCTGCCACGGTCCTTAACAGCATTTGCTTCCACTGCATTTCTAATGCCATCAACAGTTTGCACATTCGGTGCTAACCCAATGCTATGATCTAGAGACCGACAGGCCTGATGGAAGAAAGATCCGTCCCCTTCATAGCCCATTCAATTCATAATTTGTTAATGATCCATCCCTACATATATAACTATCGCTAATTTTCGGCCTGTGACAAGCAGACGATTGGGGCCCTCTGATTTTAGACTCCGCGACGGTCCTGATCGTCTGCTGATCGTTTGCTCTTAGAAGTTGTGCCGTTGCGGCTCCGCGCCAGGGCCGGTACCAATCCTGTGGCCAGTGCGAGTACCACGCGCTGTACCCGGCGCAAGCGCTAGAGCCGATACGGAACCGTGTTGCCAGCCCTACCGCGCACGGTACCGGGGTTGCACGTGACGTGCTACTGGTCCAGCGCCGCTACAACGTATACTAACTAATTTTTGGGGCACGTGCACTGCCGAATTGAGGGCAGGTCTACTGGACGACGGTTTGCTACAGACAGTTGCCGAGTTAGAGTCGACGCCGGCGCTACTCTATGCTAGAAGTTGTTTTCAACACTCTAAGCTACTCGACGACATTGTGAACTGGACTCTGGGCTACTCTACGCAACTCTGTGCTACTCTAAGCTACTCTAAGCTACTACTCTACCCGTTCTACACACACACACACACACACGCAGACACACTCACACGTAGCATCCTTCCTCTCTCTCTGTCTCCCTATGTATATATATGCACTTCCTCTTTCTTTCTCTCTCTCTCTCTATATATATATACACACGCACACCCACACACACACAGAAAGAGGTTGTTCCTAAGCTTTTTGTCGTGGTGGAGTGTTGCGCTGGCGGACAGGAGCCACGCGTGCGCATGCAAAAGGAGAGAGAGAGAGAGAGAGAGAGAGAGAGAGAGAGAGAGAGAGAGAGAGAGAGAGAGAGAGAGAGAGAGAGAGAGAGAGGCTGTGTGCTCCGTGATTGGTGCAGCGTAGATTGGTGCTCTATCTCTCTCTCCCACCTACAGCGTAGATTGGTGCTCTCTCTCTCTCTCCTCTCTGTCTCTGTGGTAGGTGAACCGGTGCTTCTCCGTGCTTCGCGCTTTCGTGCTACGTGATTCGTGCTTGGTGCTATGTGGTAGTGCGATGACAACTTGCTAAGTGCGACGTGGTTTGTGCTCCATGATTGGTGCAGTGTAGATTGGTGCTCTCTCTCTCTCTCTCTCTCTCCCACACGACGTAGATTGGTGCTCTCTCTCTCTCCCCTCTCGAGCTCTGTGGTAGGTGAACCGGTGCTGCTCCGTGCTTCGCGCTTCGGTGTTAGTTGATTCGTGCTTGGTGGTACGTGGTTCGCGCTAATTGAGTTAGTGCGACGACAACTTGCTACGTGCTACTGACTACGTGCTACGTGGTTTGTGCTCCGTGATTGGTGCTCTCTCTCTCTCACCTCACAGCATAGATTGGTGCTCACTCTCTCTCTCCTCTCTCTCTCTCTGTGGTAGGTGAGCCGGTGCTTCGCCGTGCTTCGCGCTTTGGTGCTACGTGATTCGTGCTTGGCGCTACGTGGTTCACACTACTTGAGTTAGTGCGACGACAACTTGCTACGTGCTACTGGCTACGTGCTACGCGGTTTGTGCTCCGTGGTTGGTGCAGTGTAGAGTGCTCTCTCTCTCTCTCCCCCACAATGTGGATTGGTGCCTTGCGCTATGGTGCTACGTGCTTCGTGCTGCATGAGTTGGTGCGACGGATTGGTGGAACGTTTTTTGGAGCCGAGTGCTACGTGCTCTCTCTCTCTCTCCTCCCTCTTGTCTCTCTCTCACATCTCGCTCTATCCTCTCTCTCTCTCATCTCTGCTACTTTCTAGGTGAACTTGATGGATCTTGCTACGTGAACTAGGTGCTTCGATCTACATTCTTCGTGAGCTTGGTGCAACTTGAACGCGCGTGCGCGCCCCCGAGGGACGTACACTCACACACACACACACACACACACACACACACACACAGAGAGAGAGAGAGAGAGAGAGAGAGAGAG